CGTGCCGGTAGAGTTCCGGTAGGCCGATGCCTCAACTGAGGCGGATACCGGTACTTATACCGGTAGGCAATGGTCTGGCCTCAATGCTGCGAGGCCAGGCCAGACCCTGGACCGTCCAGATGGACGGTTCAGCCTCAATCGGCGGGCGGCAGCTTCAAGAGCGCCGCCAGGCCCAAACGAAGTGTCGTTTGGGCCTACCCGATGGGCTTAGTCCAAAATCAGGCCTTTAGGGCCTGTAACCCCAAAGGTCGGGCCTTTAGGCTCTGGTGTGTCCCTCCGGCCCTAAGTCGGGTCCAGTAGGACCCGTGTGAATCGAAGATGTAACACCCGTCCTGCAGGCCGGCAGGTAGTTCCTAGGTACTTCCTAGGTACTTCCCAGGCACTTCACGTGCAGTTCAGGAGGCAGGAGGTAGTCTTCAGGATTTGGCAGCAGCACTCTGGAGGAGCGCTGCAGGAGTAGTAGTAGCGTTAGCAGTAGTCTTCAGCGCTGGGCGCTAGTAGCGTTAGCTGTAGTCTTCAGCGCTGGGCGCCATAGCTAGGGTAGTACTATAGGGAGAGAGATTGGGCGGAGGCCAGAGGGACTTACATGCAGTGCCATCGCTCCAGCTTCGAATTCAAGGTACCTGCAGCACGGCGCCACCTTCACAGGTTAGTACCGGCATATGAGAGAGAGAGAGTTCTTCTTCTTCCTCTTCTCAGTCCACCATCTCCCTCTCATCCTCTCGATATCCGACTTCACTGCATCAGCAGACTATGAGGGAGAGAGAGAGAGGGAGTTTGGTGACATTTGGATCCAGACTGGACATTGGACTTCAGACATTTTGACGAGGGATTATTTGGGACTTGTAACGAGACTTGGTGTTGACGACTTTCTCATCTCTCCCCTCCTCTTCTCCGTCTGATCCTCTCCTCTTCGTCTGTGCATGAAATGGACCTGGCGCCTCTTCCTGTGTATAGCGCCAGGCTCCCTTCACACCGTGTGGTGAGAATGATGTATGTTTTGTCTGCGTTGTCACATTGATTGGGTTAGTCATTAGTATTCTAGTATTCTGCTGCGCTATCTTGTACTACATGAGAGAGGTCAGTCCCGGTCAGGTCAGGACTTGTATCTTTGTCGCATACCGTAAAGGTGCAGACCAGAACAAGAACCGACCTCTCTCACAAAGTACAAGATAGCGTAGCGGAAGATTTGAATACCAATGATCCGAACAATCAATGTCGCAATGCAGCCCAAACATACACCATCATCGTTCCATGGTGTGAAGGGGCCTGGCGCTCACACAGAAAGAATGCGCCAGTCCCCAACCCATACACAGACGAAGAAGAGGGGGGTTAGACGAAGAAGAGGGGAAGATGGGAATGTCGTCAACACCAAGTCTTCGGCACAGGCCCGAAATAATCCCTCGTCAAATGTCTGAATCCCAATGTTGAGTCTGGATCCAATGTCGTCAAGTCCCAAAGTCACCAATCTCTCTCTCTTGTAGTCTGCAGGTACTGAGAAGTTAGGTAGCGAGAGGGGGAGGAGGAGACGGTGGACTTAGAAGAGGAATAAGAAGAACTCTCTCTCTCTCTCTCAGTCCGGTACTAACCTGTGAAGGTGGCGCCTTGTTGCAGGTATATCGAAGACGAAGATGGAGCTATGGCGCCACAGGTAAGTCCCCCTGGCCTCCGCCAACCATCTCTCTCTCTCCACTACTACTCTAGCTCCTAATAGCGCCCAGCGCTGAAGACTTCTGCTAACGCTACTGCTACTACTGCAGCGCTCCTCCACAGTGCTGCTGCCGAATACTGAAGACTGCCTCCTGCCTCCTGCACGTGAAGTGCCTGGGAAGTTCCTAGGAACTACCTCGTGACTGTCTCCTGMCTGCCYGCAGCCTGCAGGGCGGGCCAGTCTTATATAGTGCTGGCCCGTCCAGGAGGCTGCTCTTGCCAATGCCAAAACGTGCCAGACCCTGGTGTTGAAGTTCAAACAAAGGTTGTCTTGAAAACAGGCCAAAAATGGCCTGTGCAAAGAACCCTGGTCTGCAGGTCGACTTTCTGAGGGCCTGAAAATGGCCCTCCGTTTCAGGCTGAAAAGACTCAGGGCCTGGAGGGCCCTGTTTTAGGCTGAAACTACACAGGGCCTGTAGGCCCTTGTTTTCAGGCTTTCGGGCTGAAACGACACAGGGCCTGTAGGCCCTTGTTTTCAGGCTTTCAGGCTGAAAACGACACAGGGCCTGTAGGCCCTTGTTTTCAGGCTTTCAGGCTGAAAACGACACAGGGCCTGTAGGGCCCTTACTTTTCCTTGTTTGGTCGGGCCTTGCAGGCCAGTGTGGATGCGCAGTATGCCACAATCTAAGTCTTCCACTGCGCTGTAAAGCACCATTTTGTATGTATCAGAATGTACACTGCTCGTTGAGATTTCACTTGCACTGCATTGTCCATTCAGTCCTTTTCATTACATTGCGGATCCTTGGTTATTATGTACATCTCCCAACTGGGCATGCAACAGCATTGGTGATGACGTCATGTACATTGGTCTTCGATGTGATCCAGTTGCATGAACGTAGATAGGTGTAGATAGGCTGTGTAGTGTAGGCTGGCCGCTGGACGCCAATCAGTAGGAGCGACATTGGATACTGTGCTGGTGTGGTCAGAGAGTGTCAACATTGACATACAAGTTCATTGTATTGCTCTTATTTGGATGGTACCTTGGTGCATTGTGCTCTCTGCTTGGTACATGACTATCTGGGCTACTTCATGATTTTGCAATTTGGATTTCTGTCTATCGCTCTCGCTCATATTCCTCGCACAGCGCGATGTTTTTCTTTATATTTTTTGGGTGATCCCGCCAGCCATCTTGCACGGTAGCACTGTTCACCCAAAGAATGCGGTGTAGGCTATATCCGAATATATCCGTGTTTCAAGCTTGCCTGTGAAAGGTGGTGGTGGATTAAGATTACTCGTCGACTCCCTCATTGTTCTCCACATCAGCGTATTCTTCGCTCTCCGTTCGGTCTGCTTCCTCTCTCTGTTGCCCTTTCCACCACGGATTCCCAACTCTCAGTGCGTTTCGTTTTATTTGTTCTATGTCTCCTCACATTAGCGAATACTTCTTGAATCTTCCTTCAATTCCTCTCGCTTATGTATGGTTAACTCTGGGCTCATTTTTGCTGACGTTCTTTTCTTTTCTTTTTAACAGGAATTATGCTTGTATATTGCCAAACTCAAAAGGAGGCCAGCAGTCCCTCGACATCTCAACCTGGATTACTGGGGCCATTACCCAGCCTCGGCTTGGCTGGAAACTGGGTCCAGCGTCCCATTGTGCGTAACTTCCAAAATAAAGCAAAAACTGGGATAAAAAGGAGGGAGAAGCTGCCACAACTGCTAAAACCAGATCTAAACTTCTATGTATATTGACGGTTTAATCCCTCCGTCAAGCTTAATCCTCCCGAGTCTGCCTCCTAACTGCCCTATCCCGCTTAAAGCCTAAACCCTACTATACCTTCTATGCCCAGTCAACAACTATAGTCCTTGTATTTATTTTCCTATTGCTTAGTACCTTACGTCTGACAGTTCGTCCAAAACCCTTTCAGAGCTCCAAGACGGCCCTTATTTCTGTTTTCAAATCTCCTTGGCATCCTACCATGGTTCTGCAGCTTCCGCTTCTGCCCTTATTGTTGTGTATCTACCATGGCTACGCCACACCCGGACCTGTCAGTGGACATCCGACCGGACGCACGTTTGGACCCGTCCGAACGTCTGCTGTTCCGTTCAGCCACAGGGGTAGGTTCTGTCAGGATGTGGCCCCTTTACTTAACGTTACCAAACTTGTACCCCCCTGAGCAAGGCCCATTCTGTTCTTCTTTTTGCCTCTTGGCCCTTGGGCATGATTCTGACGTGAGTCACGTTGCCGATTTCTGAATCAAACGGTTGCATGAATCCCGTTGTGTTCCGATGTGCTAACCGATAGCAAGATACTTGACTCTTGGGGGCAAGTCCCGCAAGGGTGCCTGTTCGATTCCGTGTGTGCACGGATGGGCCTGAGGCCAGAAATATAACTGCTGATAGCATGGAGTGAACATCGGATCCAAGTTTTTCTGAAAATGAAAAAAATGAAAGAAAACGAAAGAAAAGTGGATGTGTAAGTCCCATGTGTAAATCGCATTGTGTTCTGCTCTTCTGATTGAGGCATGCGGTGATGAACGGTCGTAAACGATGACAGGAAGCAGTGGGTGTGGAATTGTTCGCCAGTTATGTTGATCCATTACGGTTGCTCGAGCAATCACCCTTTCTCCCATGGTCAGGCCGAGCTCCCATCCCAGGTTCAGAAGCACCAACCACCCAAGCAACTGGTGCTGCCTTCACGAGAGGGGAAGCGAATAGTGTGCCTCCTGCAGCCAATCTGAAGAGAGCAGAGGATTGGACAAATGTACAGTCATCACATGTCGAGAAAAGTGCGAAGAGAACAGATGCTTCTCCAATGCTTGGTCCACAGGGTTTTCAAAGACATGAGGAGGGGAGGGAAAAACATAAGGAACCGGAAGAGGAGAAGGTGGTGGAGGTAGAGAGGGAGAAACGCAAGGAGAAGGAAGAGAAGGAAGAGAATGTAGGAGAGAAGGAAGAGAAGATGGTAGAGAAAGAGGAGGAGAAGGGGAAGCGCACAAAGGGCAAAAAGGCGATTCACAAGGAAGCATCCAAGGAGAAAAAGGATTCATTGCACAAACGCTTGGCAGTTGTCGACAAACGCCAGATGGAGAACGCTGGTCTTATATTCTCATTAGTAGATGAGAGTGGTATGCTTAGCACTGGATTCGTGCCAATGAAGATGGCACATAATGCAAGGCCTTCTGCTCGCACCCAGCGAAGGGGACGGGCAAGCATGAACAGTCTGAAGAGGCTCAGTAATCAGTACATGAGGGCCCTTCGCGAGAAGAAGAGGTCTCCTCTTGACAGGTTGGCAGGTCGTGCCGGAAAAGCCACTGATCTTGCGAAAACGACAGTTCGTCCAGCAGGAAAGGTCGTTTCTATCCCATCAAAATGGCCTCCAAGCGACTTCGCTGAAGGCAACCTAAATCTGATCTCACTGAGTTCATTGTCTGTTGTCGGGCAGGCTTCACCGGAGCTCAGGAAAGACCTTGACGCTCCCTTCGCAAAGGCAGACCAGAGGCTGGGATTTGCTGATGCAGACCAGGCCATGAGACTTCAAGCTTTTCTATCCGATTACGTGGAAGCGGATACTGCCAAAGAGCCCATGTCAGTGTCCGAACATCCATCGGACAGGGTCGCACGAGCTGGCGAATTGCATGTCGGCGATCTTCTCAGTCACCCGAGGGAGAGCAGTCTGAACGACCATCTAGATACACAAGACCTTGAAGCTCAAGGACTACCTGGTCATCGACTTCACCCTCGAGGAGAGATAAGCAAGCTGGATCTTTCTGGCGTCACCATAACTACCGGAGTTCAGAGAGCGGAGGAGGTTGGTGGTGGTGGCCAGGAAGGCCTCAGCACATGGAGAAGCGTAGAGTTTCCTGCTGAAATGACGAGTGTTCCAGACACAGCACAGAAGCCACCGAAGAAGAGAACCCCTGCGCTCACGAAACAGCAAGGCAGAAGGAGGAAGAGTGGGGCCTCTGCAGGTGTCAAACCTTATCAGGAAAGGTATCCAGGACTTAGGAAAAGGATAATGAAGAGTTTTAAGCCGAAGACTGAACACAGAAGTGGCGCAGATGACAGCGCTCTGTCCGTAGAGCTGCAGCCGCTGGATGACAGCAAAAAGCCACAGGATTCGCATCTTGCATTTGCATCGCCAAGCGATGGGACGCATGACAGTAGGAAGAGATTGATAATGCCCCACAGTTCACACTCGACAGAAGTCGTCCCGTCGGCGCAGGATAACCTAATTGACTCCTCATTTGACTTTCCAGAGCAGGCAATTAGTGATAGCAATGAACTGGAAACTCGATGGAATCAATCGGCGTTGTTGAATCAGCAGGAGCAGCAGGAGCAGCAACTGCCAAGTGCACTTCTCTCAGCGGCAAGTATGAGCATGGAACATGGAAACGGTGTTGGTTTCTTCACGGCGCAGACGATAGGTGGTGAATCTGGTGATGGCATGGAGAGGATTCCTTTTTCTGTTGACACCAACAGTGAACAGAATGTGGCCAAAACCGAGAGCGAACTCGAAGGACCGTTGTACTATCTGGAGGAAAGCAACGGAGATGCACCAGCAGTGCCACCTAGCCCAACAAATGCAAAGTTGTATGTCCCGAATGTGACCTTCAGGTCCGTTATCCAGTGGTCCCAAGAGGGCCCATCCTCTCCAGCTGCTGCTTTGGCGGCAAGTGCAATATTAGTTTCTGAGGCAGCGGTCAATGAAGTTCCATCCCAGGGTCCTGGGCGTGGAGCTCCTCTTGTCTCACCGACAAGGAGACCTCTGTCAAGTCCTATTCACAGACCAGGATCCCGATCCGGAAGATCCTTATCTCCTGGCCGTGGAGGTTCACGAGCCAGGCCTTCAAGTGAAGATGCAATTAGTCCAATAAGATCCTTATCTCCTGGCCGTGGAGGTTCACGAGCCAGGCCTTCAAGTGAAGATGCAATTAGTCCAATGAGAAAACTTGGGAGTAGTAATAGTACAACGGGAATAGATGCCACCGCTTTCCACCGTCATCCGAGCCGGCAGCGTCTGAGTCAACGCATTTGCCAATCGGAACAACACCATCGCGACCATCGTGGCCACAGTGATTACGGGGACGATCACCATCACCGCTACCATTACCATTACCTCAAGCACCAGCATGAGCGTCGCCACGGAAGACTCCGCCCAAGTTCAGGTACATCCTCATCTAGTCCCAATGTGGGCCAGCCATCAGAGGTGGTGCCAGTCCCACAGCTGAAGTCATCAGATAGCGGTTACCTGGGGAGCGAGAGGATTAAGCGAGATCGTGCCGGAGATGCAGGAAAGCCCCTGCCAGCGCCCCCACAATTGCGTGACATGCAGCAAAGGGATAGCCATGCTCAACCAGCGTTTCCTGCGATAAAAACACAACCTCGCTCAGCCTCGGGGCAAGCAAGACAACTGCTAGACCTCGCTGTGCAGCAACTCCTTGGAGCGGATGCAGGAGCCTCACCCGCGTTAAGTCCACGTCGACCTGACCATCCATATGGCGACGAGAATGGTGATATGGACAATGATATGGCCGATGAAGATTCGCGCGAAACACTTGAAGCAGATCTGCGTGGGCTGCCTGAAATCTGGGGACAGCGGAAGAAACTGAGCAAAAAGAAGACAGAATATGGGAAGACAAAAAATGATGTGGCAGGGTTCCGGGAGCACTTAGAAACTTTGGCACAGTTGGCGGTGTCCAAAAGAGAGAAAGAGTTGCAGAGAATGCGAGAAAGAATCATGGAAATAGTAAAGGCGGCACGTGAGCAGAGGAGTGCCCAATTCGATTTTGAAAATTGTTATGATAATAATTTTGATCACGAGGACGAGGCAGAAGCCACCGAGGAAGGCATGCAGCCTGCAGAATCTGAAGACACCACACAACAGAAGCCTGAGCTTTCTTGGAATTCGGAACCTGACGGGGGACTGCAACCGGCCGCAGAGTCTAAGCTGTCGACAGGTGTGGAAACCGGTCCACAACACTCAGTTGGTGCCACCCCGGTGGGGGAGGAGGGACCTGAAAAGCAACCAGGAAAGATAGTGCGCATTGCGCTACCGAGCATTTGGATGCTGAAAGCGCACGCCATGAAACAGGTACACATTCGACGTACTCAAGTCTGCCTGTGTCAGTATCCGGCACATTGTCTGTTTAAACTTTAAACATCACAGTGCCTTTTTGGAATACTCATAAATGTGTTGCGGAGAACAAAGTCGTCGATTCTTCCTCAGCGAAGCACACTAATAATAGATCATGTTGTGTTTTGTAACTTACGATGTTGAATATTCATTAGCACGCAGAAACGAGGACTTGAATTCAATTGATCATGTTAACTTTTTTATTACAAGGCTGGAAACCAGGTCCAGCATCCCTTTCTACAACAGAAACCCACACGTGCTTCCCTTCGTCATGCCCAAGGACTTTGAGAAGCCGGCATTGATTGCTTCCTTTCTAAACAACCACTACCTTTCCCGCTCTTGGGAAAATGGGAAAATATCCTACTCCTAAAAAATCTGGCGCTGGTCCTGACAACGACCGCCGTTGATAAATCTCACCGGAGGCCTATGTTTCGTTTCGGCCTCCTAAAAGATCGGAGGCCCACCTGAGGCTGACATGGTACCACCTCTCCACCTCTGTTACTCTTGCCGCTTTGCACGAAAAAGAAAAAAAGAAAAAAAAGAAATTGATCGTGTTGTGTTTGCAACTTGCAATGTAGAATATTCATTCATGTTGATCTGACTACTCTTGCACTGCCTCCTATCTTGTAATGACCTACTGTCTTACAGCCTCCAGTGCCTATCTATTTTTAGACCAGAGCTTTACAAAAAAAAAAAAATAAGAAGGAGAAAAAACTAAGAAGTTCGAAATTGACAAAGCTGCTGACCAGAGCAGAATGTAACTTAAAAAAAAAAGGATTTGTCTGCAAGGACACACACAATTCACAGAAAAGCTGACAAGTACATGTTAGAACTTCTCTTGAAAATAAGTTAAATAACTGACAAGGCCAATGGCATGTTCGCGAGTTGTTCGGACAGGGACTTATCTGAGAATATTGCAGCCAATTGTAAGGATCTGTCTGCAATTTTGTTAGGCCTAAAGGCCTGGAGCTCCCTGTACGACTCAACCTCTTGCACACCTAGTATTACCTATCCTATTTTTGAGGCCAGTGACACATGAGCAAACCCAAGAGAAGCTTCTATTGGGAGCAAGCGGGCCAAGAAAGAAGCTTCTCTATTCCAAATAGGGCCAAACAAGATGTTTTATAGGCTTGCTGCAAGTTGCTGGGGCTTGGCAGCCGTGCTGTGGGCACCTTGACCTGCCGGATAGCCACCAGTTGAAGGAAGGGCTCAGTGACCAGCCCATCCAGGAGGGAAAATGGGGTAGGTCGCCTGTCCGAGAACCTATTGGGCTGTTTATGCCCAAAGACTTCGGGTAGGGTATTCTTCAAGTTGGGTGCTACGTGCCTTCACATGGGGGCAATGGACTTATCGGATCATGCACCTGGCCAGGCGGAATGATTTTTGGCTATGTGATCTAAAGATTGGGTGGCTACCGGATCACTCTACCGCAGAGATGAGCTTTTTTTGTTTTTTGAGTTGCCATCAGACCCGACCGGCCCAATTTTTTTTCTGGTGTAGCCCACCCTTACCCCCCAAAAAAGAATTTGCCAATTTGCATCAAGGCGACCCACCCAAGTTTTTTCAAAAATTTTGCCCCCGCACCCGACCCGCCCACCACCTGAACAAACCATTGACCCTGACCCGCCCGCACCCACGAGAACATCATTACCCCCCGCACCCACGAGAATGTCTTTTTTTTCCCCGCCCACACCCGGGACCTAATTATTGTACTTCCGCACCTGCCCGCACCCTTGTCACCCCAAGGCCCCCAACATTCGACACCCTGCGACTTGCCAGTGTCATTGCTCTGCCACCTCCTCGCTGCTCCGCCTTGCGCCACCCATTGACAGATTCTCGCTGCGGCCCAGAAGTGAAAGGTGCCCAATAGAAATAGGGAGAGAATCTTGCCACCTCGCGAGGTTAGATTCGCTCTCTGTTGTCTTAACACGAGAGTTATCGTCCAAATTTGCCGTTGGCGGCTGCACCCAGGCTTGCTTTTTTGGGGTTGGTCTACAGGGGGTGAGCAGCTGAACCAGGCATAATCCTTTTCTTTTTAAGAAATTGGGAGGGAAGCCGGGGGGGAGGGGTCTTTGTGGGTCTGGTGATCCAGGCCAGGCACTCACCTGCCTGTCACCCACCAATTTGGGTGACCCAAGTCAAACACTGACCCACCTGTCACCCACCCAGGCTGGCTTACCTCGACCCACCCATGTCCCCAACCCAGGCAGGCTTATCTTAACCCAAACCTGACCCAGCGGCTTGTGGGCGCGGTGGGTGCAGGTGGGGGTGGGGGTGGGGGTGGGGGTGGGGGTGGGGATGGGTGTGGGTGTGGGTGTGGGTGTGGGTACCTATTGGTCATCTCTGATCCACCGCCCTGGGCCTCTTTTTTCTTCTACCAGACTACGAATCTGGTTCTGTCTTTTTGACAGATTCATGATCTTGTGGACCCATTGGCCACTGCATGAAGGCGCTTCGTATCCGAAGGGAAAACTTTGGGCACGTTATTACCCAACCGGAAGGCTTTGGGGGTACTAAGCAGCCCAATAGGCTTTTGGGCGGGCTACCCAGCCCAAGTGGCTGAAAGGTACACTACTACACACCAGCTTGATGTTGATCAACAGATCGTGAGTTCAACTCCTGTCAAGGAATGCGATTGATACAAATTACATTATTAGTAATTTATTACACTAATTTAAAAAAAGGTTTTTGGGCAGGTGTGACCTACCTGTTTTCCCCCGCCAGGAGCTTATTCACAAGAGCAGAGGTCGCCAGGCTACTGCTGGACTGATTGTCGAGTCCCCCGGTGCTGAAGAGTTAACGACTTCTACTCACTTTGGGAGAGAGTCTTTTGCACTTGGACTGCTGCTGCTTGGTTATGCAGGACAGCTCTGTAGAGGGAGGTCGCCCAGTCATTTAGCTGGTGCTGAATGCAGGACATGAGCGCAGACTTAGGTCTATAAGCCGTGATGAAGTTGGCATGAATGGCGAGGTCTGCCCAGTGATTGGTATCTTGAGGGTTCGATTTGTGATCCTTAAAGCGGCTGAGGTAGAGAGGAGGATACTGTGGACACTGGACAGGATTGAGTTGAAATCCAATAACATATTTCAGCGTTTCAGGATGTTGTTCCTGATGGAATTATTGACTCCAACTCAATCCTGTTTCTCCAGCTCGGTAGTTGCCGATTGAGGATCATGTACTGAGACAAACAATGATAAATGTGGGTGGAATTATTGACTGTCAGGAGTGGGAAGATGGGGGCTTACCTCTAAGATTAATTCTGGCGTAGTCTGTGACACTTGGCACTTCTATTTATTTTTAGGGTTTAGGAACTTTAGGGTTTAGTGTTTGGTATGAGTTGACATGAGATGGGGATATGTGTGCCGCCACTATGCCGTTCATGTATTCATTCGTATTGGTCTGACAGTGTGTGGATGTTTGCTGTATCACCATGTGTTGCCACCTTGCTTGGAATGTGGATGTATGAATCGAAGGTGGGGTGCATTGGGAGAATTTGGGACCGCATTTCCATTCCCATTCCCATTCCCAACGACTGGCTATCTTCGTGTAACAGTGGCAGGAGCATCTAACAAACAGGGAGACGTATGATAAGGACATCTTTAAAGCAAGGCAGGCCACCGATCGCAAATCAGTTCAAGATATGAGGCAGAAAATCATGCTTTATAAGAAGGTTTTCTGCCCGTTTGTCCGAAATGATGCTGCATTCTCTCAGAGCTTCTTGCAGCATGTAACTGCATTTCAGTTGGCAATTACAGGAGCCCAACATCAGCATAGAAAGTGAGACTTCCACTCCTCTCTCTCTCTCTCTCTCTCTCTCTCTCTCTCTCTCTCTCTCTCTCTCTCTCTCTCTCTCTCT